ACGACGACTACTACTACTGCTACAGTTGTTCTTTATTATTGTTACTATTGCTGTTGTTGCTGTAGCCTTTCCAGGAAGTATGCAATCAGAAAACCAACCAGACCCACCTCTGCCCATTTCTGCCCCAAAAGCTGGCCGCCTTTACCCCCACCGCCCAATCCCCAAACCCCCAAACTCTCCAACCATAAGTCCTAACCTCTATGTCAACCATGGGCTTTAACCCTAAACCCTAAATGGTAGTTTCCATTTTCTTTTCCATTATCCCTATATAGCCCCAATATACCCCAATATAACCCCAGGACCATAAACCCTTAACCCCAAACACCTCGCAGGCCATCAAGATGCCACCTCACTGATCTGCGGTCTCGGGCAGATGCTAGAGGCCCGCTTGGAGTTTACAGGTCTAGGTGTGAGGGCTTACATGGCACTTTGAAGTGAGAACAATAGGCGACAAGTTGGCTGTTGCCTTTGTTAGGGCATAGGGTTCGTGTGTTCGGGGTTTACGGGCCTCCAGGCTTCACGGAATTTAGGCTTCTATAGGTTTCAAGCTTGGTTCGTACTAGGTTTTATTGTTGTTTAGGGTTTATCGAGATGGGGCTCAGGGCGTCATGTTGTTCAAGTGCAGTCAGGTGGTTCAGGGTTTGGAATGCAGGCGCTTAGGCTTGACGTGGTTTAGCATCTATTGGTGGTTGTTCTTGCCGTTGGATTTCCGCATGCCTGGGGAAGTCTCAGAAGCATCGCAAACCGCTGGTCGTGTAGTTTTGAACCATGCGGAGCATTCACCTTCTAATTACCCCCGAACATTGAACGACTTTGAACAACCCCCTCCCCTCATATTAAGCAAGCCGTATTTGAGTCCACATACATTCGGGACACAAGTTTCTACCTTCAGGGAGTGGAGTGTGTTTTGTTTATATATGCGAGGAAGGGCTGATTTGGGCCCGGTCGACCTTAAGTACCCCTAATTGAGCTCAACCTGGGATGAGCCCAAAACCTGGAGCTGTAAGCACCACAACCTAGAACCCAACTCCTAGCCTCTGGCCGGCCCTAAACCCTAAAACCTAAACCCCTAAACCCAAAAACCCTGAATTCTTAAGCCCTAAACTCCTAAACCCTAAACCCTAAAACCCTAAACCTTAAGCCCTAAACCCCTAAACCTTAAACCCGTAAAACCCTAAACCCCCCCAAAATCCCAACCTTGAAGCCCTAAGCCTCTGAAGCCCCCAGGCTGGACGAGAGCTCCCAGAAGTCCTCTGCCAAGCCGTGGCTGATGCGCCGGAGCTCGTGAGGAGTTTGTTGCTTCGGTTTAGGGTTCAGGGTTTAGGGGTTTAGGGGTAAACGGTTTAATGGTTTACGGGTTTAGGGGTTTAGGGTTTAGGGGTTTAGGGTTTAGGGTTTGGGTGATGGCACTTACAAGTACCATAGTAGCAAGTAGTAGCCAACGTCACAACAAATAGCACGCGTGGGGGTGCTGTAGCATTGGCAGTTGAACGCTGGCAGGTTTCAGACTTAGGCGCTTTGATGTGTTTAGGTTTTCAAAGTTGTGTGGTTAGTGGTGTTTAAGCGGCGTCTGGCCAGGTAGTGTGTTGTGATTGAGATCTCTGCTTGCATGCTGCAAGGTTACTGAATAGCTGCGTAGTGCAAATTATTGTTTAGAAGGCTGCTGCAGAGTTCGGCTACATGGCACCTGCAGACTTGAAATTTGTCTGAACACTTCATTTCGAGCGTGGCATCAGCGCTTGGATTCCCATCTGGTAGCTTGGTGCCCTTACTTATGGAAGCTTCAATTTTGAACACCAACGCTTCTACGTCTCGCCCCTCCATGCAGGCAGAGGTGGAAATTCCGAAGGCTATGGTTTTGCACTCTTATGTCAGAAGAATTCGGAGCTTTCTTTGGAATCTGCACTGCCCTGGGGACGTTGAACATCTGGCTCGTCTTGTGCCTTGGCTCTACACCGCGCGCTTCCTCACTCTTGTGTAGGGTTCGTTAAAGTATAGAATCTCCTGTTGATGGCGGACTCCGTGTGATGGGGGCCACCCAGGATTAGCACTCAACGGGTTCTATGTGTAGGATTTCCCCAGCACTGTATTCTGTTGCTTGCTGAAGATTTGTAGCCTCCCCGAGCATGCGCATCTTCGTGAACAACGTCGACGGATTCTTGGCAGGCCGGGGACGTGAGACGTTGTTCTATGAATACACACCTCACAGAAATCGCGGGGTCTTGATCGGAGATTTTTTGCCCCATGAGCCCCTGAATGGGTTTATTTCGATGGATTACACCGAGAGAGCAAGACCAATCAAAATGGTATCCAATAATCGGCTTTGGAGTGCAACCTCGGCTACACCTTGGCAAGTGCCAGCAACACACTTGCGCCAGTCTCTTTGGAAGATGTCTGAAGACAGCTTATCAAGCGAGCAAGGCGTTGCTTGGATGATCTTCTCCTAGAATTTGCATGATACAGATCCTTGCAGCAGGGTTCCCATTGCAACGCTTCAGCAGCACCAGTGCGAATTCCGGAAGACACGAGGCGTGGCGCTACATCTATCAAGTCATGTGTACTCTTCTTCTGCTGGTCCTGTTTTAGAAGAGGGCCAGGGGTTCACATACCAGATAGACCATCAACAGTCCAGAGCGAAGGCAATGAAAAGGTGAAACAGCCACCCCCGCCAGAGGGGCGTGCTTAATACCAGGGGGCATGGCGCGTTAAGAAGTAGCGTAGCAGGCAAGGCCATCCTGACAAAAGCCCAATCCGCTCTGATGGGCTCGGATGTTGCAGTACGAGCCCATGGCTTCCCGATCCTCCCACCTATCCGGATTGAAGGAAACTCCACTGACTGCGTGTACAGCAGTCACCATTTCAGCCTGTCACAAATCTGTCCCTCGCCTGCGTACAAGGTAGGTCAGCGCAACAAACCTAACCCCAAAACCCCAAAACATAGTGTTCAGGCGCGCTCTGCGCAGACTTGGCCAAGGTTACCAAGGACATTGCCAGCAGCTTACCTCGAGGTTGAAGCTTCACTTGGTCATTTTTGGACAAGAAGTCTGGGTTTGAAAGCTAAGGTAGTTGTCAAAGTTTCCCGGCATTGTGATGCAGTTCAAGGTTAGGGGAACAACTCATCACTTCTGATCTCAATTAAAAAGCCGCCATTTTTTTGGAAGAGTAGGGCAGGTCGAATGGCATTGCAGTGCTCTCCCTGTCCAGTCCAGCCATACGTGCGGGGGTGAGCAAACTGTAACGGCCGGACCCGACCCCAACCCTAAGAGCGTTTCCCGGAAGTAGAAGCACCTCTTTGAGGGGTCCCTATAATAAGGACTATATAGTATGTCCGGGTCTATATTGTTTTTTTGGGGAAACTACCAAATCTTTTTGTTTTGGACTTCTTGATCTCATACAGTTTGACCCAAATGCCCAAGCATTGCTTGGCCAGAAGCCCTGAGGTCGGTACCAAGAAGACTCGTCGGGATGAGCTCATACCTCCCTCAGTGAAGAGGGTTGTGTCCGAGCCCTACACGGTTTAGGGGTTTATAGTCCCCCGTAAGTAGATAGAATATGGGGTATATGGGGATTTTGTTATAATATACCCGAAGCCGAGCCGTATTCTATCTATTTAAGGGGGATTTTCGGGAGTGGGGCGGAGGCCTCTATAGGATTGGGCTTCAATGGATGGGTCCGTTGAAAAGCTTTCGATAGAAATTGCTGAGGCCGCCAGGCCTGGGATCACTCCTTCAACGAAGCGGTTTTGTTGGTTGAGGGGAGTGTAGAGACAAGCAGCAAGGCTATGGAAGGCATTGACTTGGACCCACTCTCTCTCTCTCTCTCTCTCTCTAGTTCCCTCTGTCTTGCTCGCTGGATGCGGATTTTGTTTAGACTGTGAAACGATGGAGAACAAGGGGAACCACGAGGGGTAAAACCAAGGGCGCGCATGTACATTAGAAAACCCAAGGACATCCCCAATTCATCGTTCATCCTCCTTTGTCTAGTCCAATGGGGCACGGGCACTTGGCTTTGACTTGCTCCATTGCTTGCCCAAGGGGTTCCATTCTGAGCCAAACATGTGCAGCATGCTGGGACAGTGTTTTAGGGTTCAGGGTTTAGGGTGTACTTGTGTTGCAGAAGTCCGAGGCCACATCACAGGTAGTTCTCATCCACTTCCTCTTCCAGGGGTCATTTTTGTTTGCTCGTGATTTACCTGACCATTGACACAGGGCAGAGCAGATAGTAAAGAGACATGTTCGTCAAATACTAAAATTGAGTGAATCATCTAAAAGAGGGGCCGAATGATCCTCTGATAATTTCTTCCCATCCCTAACTAGGGTGCATATACACCACCATGCTGTAAAACACATCAGATAATGGGGCATGGAATCCATTCGTCAGGATGCCCCAATCCAGTGGGTTTGTGGCTTAGGGCAGGGATTGTGCCGGGATAAGGGGCACTGGTGACTGCCTCGTGCAGCCTGGTCAGACGCGGCCAAGGTCCAAGCTAAGCCCTAGCCATGCCTTCATGTGATGACGAGTTCAGTTCTCAAGATAGCTTCAGCCTTAAGCAGCACACAAGATTAAGCATCAATGAGGGTAGTCTCGTATTTAAGACGCCCATCGGCTGACATTACAGCACTTTCAGCCTTGAAGAGAAACGCGGCAAATGAGCTTCGTAAAGCAACCACGTAGGACTTCACAACATTGAGTTTTTAGGCCCTGTCGGGATTTAGAAGGTAAAGGAGTTCCGGACGCTTCAGCTGTCTTACCCTATTCAAGGTTTATTTGAAATTCAAGCCATGAAGACGAAAAATCGCCTGGCTGTCCCAGAGATGGTGTCTCGGTGATTCTGGCGGTGGGGTCCATGGTGACTTTTTTGGAGATTTCAGTGGAGTAAGGTCTCAAACTTAGAGATTACTTACTGGTTCTTAGTGGAATACATTATACAGGGTTGTACAGGGATTATATTCCCGTGTTCCCCGCTAAGAAAGAGTAAAGATTAGGGTTTCCAAGATGAAGGCAACTCCGATGATAACTGGGTCCGGTTCGCACATTTTGGCGTGAAGCCTATCGGATCCTCGGTTCATCTTGAGACACTGCCCGGAATTCCTTACAGCAGCCTGCTCTCAAACATCCCGGCCCCAGTTTGCAGTTCAGTGCAGTATAAAGAAAGACGGAGTTCCCAAGCAAACCTCTTTTTGTTGCTTGGGAGTCTGGTTTCGGCTTTTGGTCAGGGATCGGCCAATCACCTTGCGCAAGAATCTGCTCTTCCCTCCAAATCATTCCCCTGTTAAGGCTTTTCGGAGCACATCTTGGGCTGGGGGGGGGCGAAGGTACTTCTTCAAAGTCTCTGCAGAATCCCAAGACTGAAAGGATCCAATTCCACGCATGCAGTACCTTGTCTTCATGCATAAATTTTGGACATCCTTTGCCCAGACCCATTTAGAGATCTAAGCAACAAGCTACAGAACCTATAAACGTATGGGCCAGAACAAGGAGAGTTCTTGGGACCCCCATCCAGGTTGACATCCAAAGCGCATCGGATCGGGCTGAGATGCTCGTTGGCCGCGTTCGCTCGCGGGGGCGCTATCACAAATTCCAGGAGAGGGCGTAAGGGTTAACTTGGGTTAGGGGTGAGTGGAATATATTTTAATATAACATAATAGAATACAGTATAATCTAATACAATATTTTACAATAGGATATAACTGGTTTCGGAGTTCTGGGGTTCAAGGCCCTGTTGGCTTCAAGTGTTTCTGACCCACATCTGCTCTCCCTCTGCCGATTCTGGCTTGTCTGAAAAAAATCACGGCATACAGTTACGGGCAAATGCACGGTCTGACAACAGTGAGCTGTTCATGAGCTCAGCCACCATAGACATATGGGTGTAGCTGTTTTTAACGCACGCAGTCAAGCATGAAACCAACAGCAAGAGTAGTGACTGAGTAGTGCCTGTTCTACGAATGGGAAGTACAAAGTCGGACGCAAGCAGCTTGTACTTGGAGGGCCATGGGACTTAGTAACTGAGAATATAATTAGGGTTATAAGCCCAGTTATAAGTAGTTACTAAGTCCCATGGGCCTCCAAGTAACGAAATGCAGGAGCGAACCTTGGAGCAGGACTACGAGGCCGCGTTAAATGGAAGAGCCTTCTACGGAGCGACACAGGGTTCTGGGCGTATGGCTCATAGTAGTTTCCATTGTTTTTTCCCTTATCCCTATATAACCCCAACCTAACCCCATATAACCCCAACATAACCCCCATATAACCCCAATATAGCCCCTATATAACCCCAGTATGACCCCTATCAAAACCCCAATATAACCTCTATATAACCCCAATATAACCCTAAGATAATGGTTTAGGGTGTGCAGCTTTGTGGGAGAGTGACATGAAAGGAGAGCCTGGGGTCTCTACAGCGCAGGGCATAGGACAGTGTAAAGGTCTAGCGTTTAGGGTTTAGGGTTTGGGGTTTGGGGTTTAGGGTTTGGGGTTTAGGGTTTTAGGGTCTGTCGGTTTTGGCGTTGTGGGTCTATACTGTTATATGGGTTCCAATAGCGAGTCTCTGTAGATCTTTATAGTTCTGGTGTGGTCATCCATGTTTCCCTTAACGATTATGTGCTACCTCTCAGGGATCGCTGCTATTCATCATTCCCCCCAAAACTGCAAACACCTCAATCGTCCGCAGGAACAGCCTACAACACTTGTAGTTCACGTTCTAGATCCCCATATATCATTTTTATACTCCCCATACATCCCTACGTACTCCCTCCCCTACATACTCCCATTATGATTTTCCCTAATCCCCAGCGTCTAGCGCCTGAACCAGGTGGATCGAGGTCATGTGCTGGGAAGCGGCGCAAATGGCCAGGCCTGCTTGGATATGAAAGGACTTAAGAATTTGGAAGGACTATGATAGGAATCCATTAAAAGTCTGTTAAATGGGTTCCTGCAATATTTTTTCAATTCTTTGGCTTCTACGATTTTTGATGACGCATACAAAATGACTTTAATGGGCTCCTTTTACATTCCTTCGAAATTCTTTGGATTCTCTGTTTGGGGTCCCCACTCTAGTTCGTTTACCATGGGCAACGATAGGGATGGAAGGTGTAGGATTTGGTGACAAGAAGTACGGTTCGAAAATCACCACACCCACGCAATAACCGTCCTTAAAGGGTTCTATAAGGGGTTATCATCACCAACTCCTAGTACCCATTTTGGTAATTCTTACTGTAAGGGGGAATGACCCAACCGGCAAGCTTGTCTGCAGCTTGAAGAAGGAAGCAATTAAATACTTTCTGGCAAAAGATCATGGAACTCTTACGTTCTAGGGTTTAGGGTCGCCCCCCCCCCCGCGTAAAAAGGCACAGCGGCAGTTGCAGGGAGCTTATGCGTTCGATACAGGGTAAGCTTAGACTCTCCCGCGGATCCTTCTATCTCCTGGTGGAGCTGCATCTTGCGATGTCTTAGGGACAAGGCCAAAGCCCCCCTAAATCCTAAACATGAAGCCCTAAACATGCTAAATCATCCCTCAACTCTCACTCCCAAATCCTCAACCCCAAACCCTAATCAAACACACGCGCACACCTCGGCGGACTCCTAAACTTTCTGAGGGTCTGTATAATATAGAACCCCCAGTAAGTAAACTCTAGCCTGCAAAACTCAGAACCAGCTGTTCAATTCCGGGGACACCCTCAGGTCTGGCTGGTGCGCAGCCGGCACAATGGCCGGGCTTTCGCAGCCAAGCCCTGGTCTCAATGACCTGCCCCCAAAATGGATTGCATGGGCCGTACTGTGGTATTTGGAGAGGGATACTGATGTCGATAGGCTTCAGGCCTTAAAGGGGTGTCATGGTCTAGGGGAATCCTGCAATCAGTGCACCTTCTGGGGACCACTTATGATCTTGCAAGCACCATGCAGGGTTAGTTCCTACACAATCCGAATACAGTGGCAACAAGAAGATGGCAAGATGTTTGCCGTTGGCCAGTCAGTTTGTGGCAGCTTGCGACCTTAAGCTGGCCGCCGTTAAAGGCCCCCAAAACAAGCATTTAGACGCTTGCGGAATCTGTTGGCAGCCCTAAGTTCCATACTGAACTTTCGCGAATGACTAGGGCTCTTATAAGAGTTATCTGATGCAACTTTATCTGTGTCCGAGGCCATTTTCTTTCCTGATGCCACTAGGACATTCCCCGCCCTCCAGTTTGTTTTCATGCCAACTGCGGATCCAGTAAGTGCGAGTCAAATGCCCGAAAATTTTCTGATCCCTGCAGAAGCTCTTGGAAAGATCTCTATCTGCCTTACAACGTTTAGGGTTTGGTTTTCCATTACTGTGCTTTACTGCTGGACTTCTCAGACGGCATGCCTCGCCGTGCCTGGAGAAATTAGCTTCCTACGCCCCGAACCTGGCCACCTAATTGGAAACCCAGAGCCAATTCAAGGACGTATCGGCTGAGTGGCATTTCAGAACTCAAGTGCTGGGAGCCCAGATCGTGCGCTAAGCCTCAGTTTCTGTTGGGGTGCTAGATCCTCACGATATTTCGTCATCGGGCTTGGTGCTGTTTGGATGCTGTGAGAGCCAATTGGGGTCTTTGCCGGTACAATGCTTTGTTGCTGGGAGTGTGTTGTGGGGTTCAGGGTTTTGGAGTTTCGGGCTTATGGATTGGTTTGGTGCTCAGGGTGCGTATAACCAAATCAATGGGCTTTTGCATGTTCCTCAATGCAGTGCTCTTCTGCCGCACAAGAGGTCTAGCATTTATTGGCCATCTATGTATGCTTGGCAATGTTTAGAGGGTAGATGTTGAGCAGTACGAGCCTTGATTGTGAAAATTCAACTCCTCAGTCTGCAGCCCTAGAGATATTGGGAAAAATTATCGCAAGCTTGTACTTCATGAATGCATGTTGTTTCTTGGGTATCTTGCCATTCCGGAAGCAGGTAATGTCATCAGCAATGCCGTGCCAAGGTTAGCCTTAGAGGCATCTGCAATGTCAGTGGCAGTACTTATGTCCAGTGTTGGAAATACTGCTAGCAGAACTTACGCTGAGGTCCCAGGGAGCGTAGTACGCTGGGTTGCCCACGAGTCCTTCATCTACAGTTTTGGCGGTCCCAGGTCTTTATACAACATACATGTGAAGAACTAGTCTATGCTGACGGGAACCCTTTTTGATTGCTAGGTCACCGGGGTCCAAATACTTGAAATGACGCCTACAAGCTCGTGCCTGAATTTCGTTAGGGCTGTACACTGTTAGAGCCATACGACCAGCAGGTGTTCCTCTTCCATGCAGTGCCAACCCTGACGTCGAGACTGACAGTAGTACTCATCAAGTATCATGTGCAGCTCCAGATTCAGGCTCAATATGGTAGTTTCCCTTAAAAGGGGGGACCCCAACATAGACCCCCAAATACTACAACTATCCTTATTATAGGGATCCCCAAAATGGTATGCTTAATTTTGGGAAACTCCCAAATTAATTCGCCAGTAAAGCAAGGTAAGGGTCAACTCTTATGAGAATACCTACATGTCTTCGCAGGACCTCCCACCCTGCAATTTCTGGGATCGGTATAGTGGGAATATAAGAGGACCCTGATGTAGTGACTCGTATCCCTTATAGTCACTATTACGGGGCGGGGGGTCCGCCTAATACCAGTAGCTAGAGATCTACGTTGCTTGATCTTGCCTCGCCTGAATTGCTTGTGGGTCATGAAAGAAAATCTGGGTCTTTGAATCTCCGCGGATTCTTTTCCGTGACCAGTTCTTTCGCATGCCTGCACACCCCCTCAAAATATTCGAACCACTAAACCCTAAACCCCAAACCCTAAACCCCCAACTATAAACCCTAAACCCCAACCCCTAAACTCTAAACCCTGACTTCAGATCCATCTTTGGCCACATAAGGCAAGGAGATTGAGACAGAGGTTGAGATTCTCCTGACGGTCGATCACCCCAACCTAGCTCGCATGGTTGATGCCTACGAGACCAAGGTCCCGGCGCTGGCTGATCGTACGGTGAAAGCGACTGTTATACTAGGATTATATGGGGGTTATATAAGGATACTTCAGCAAATGCATTATACAGGGATTCTACAGGGGTTGTAAGGATACTTCCCCAAAAGGGGTTATAGAGGGATTATATAGGGGTTATTTAGGGATAATGGAAAAGAAAATGGAAACTATAGGTATTATAGAGATTATGCAGGGATTGCTTGGGTTATATAGTGATACTTCCCCAACAATGAAGAACTACATGCAACAGAAAATGGAAAATGCAATAGACACTGCTGTTATATGGGCTTCATAGGATGGATATTCAATTCAACATCTTGTATGTTTCTAAATGCACTGAGCATTGGGAATTCTGGCATTGTAGTCTCTCTGTAGCCTGCGAAGGGGCTTTGCAGGATTTTTGGTATCAACGCTATCAATAACATAAACAGTATGGTTGTTTACTGCATTTGGAAGTGTTGCAGTTGGCAGTGCTTCAGTTGTTCATGTTGCTGGAGGGTCTCTGGGAGTAGAGTCCAGAGGCTTCCTACAGATATTTTCGGTTGTAAGCATTGTTCTTGGATTCGAGGTTTTAGTGGTTTTAGGCGGTTTTAGGCAGTTGTGATTGAGGGTTTCGAAGAGGGCTCCAAGGATGTAGAAATCCACATGCAGAAGTCCGTATGTAGGTCTCCCGCGCTCGCGAAAGGCAACAAAGACAAGCTTGCTTCCAGAGACTCACAGCTGAGAGGTCCCAAAAGTATGGGTCCCTGTCTTGAGATGAAACACCCGAAGCCCTAAACCCTCAATATGAGCTACAGTCTAAACTCCTTAAAGGGGGCTATATAGGGGGTTCATATATAGGAGTACTATAGGGGTTATTAAGGGGGATACTAGGAGTTTCGACTGGCTCATATGACCCTAAACCCTAAACCCTATTATAGTAGTTTCCATTTTCTTTTCCGTTACCCCAATATAACCCGAATATAACCCTAAACCCTATCTATAGTTGGGGCCAGCTCCTCTGTGGATAAAGAAGGGGCCCGAACGTTGGAAATTGTGGTGCCGAAGTAGGAATGGTATCCGAATTGAGGATTGCGGGCGTTGCGGCACGAGGTCGAAGACTCACGATGTACGGAATGCAAGGGTCTAGATAGGTTCAGGATGATGAAGCTTCCGCATACAGAAGCTTGAAGAGCTATTGCTGGGATAATGGAAAATACAATGGAAACTACTATATCATAGGGTTATATAGGGGTATAATATTGGATTTTTGGTGTAATGGAAAATAAAATGGAAGCTATTAATGTAATTGCAGTATCTCCCTTCTAACAGCCGACGACGTCCATCGTGAATACCCAATTGATTGTGATTGCCTGCGCCTTTCAACATCTCTCATTCCGGCCCAGCAGGAGCAATCGTTAGAATAAGCCTTATGTTCATCCCTATAGCCTATATACCTCATGCCATTGGCTGCGATTCTTATCCTCTCGTTATATTTCCGCCTAGGATCCCCGTACCGCACCCCTGAATCTTGAACACTCCATAGTTCCCTGATGCCTCCGAGACCGTGAAAGTAGTTGAAACTCTTCCTAAACCCTAGAGGTAATTTGCAGACCATCCCATAAAGGGGGCACCTACCCAGACCCCTGAAAGGATCTAGAAAGTAGATCCCCCTTAAGGGTTAATAGAAATTACCCAAGGGTAGTATATGGTACCATAATGGGAATGGGGGTTCTACTTTCTAGATCCTCCCAGGGGTCTGGGTAGTTGTTCATCAATGAACCCTAAACCCTAAACCATAAGCCCTAAACCCTAAGCCCTAAACCCTAAATCCTAAACCCTAAACCCCTATTTCAAGCCTTAGTGCTTCGCGAAGGCTTCCATGACGCTAGTCATGGAGCTCCTGGAGGGAGGCCTGCAGCCCAGGGTCTAGCAGATTCAGTGGGCTCAAGGGTTAGGGTATAGGGTTATATTGGGGTTATATTGGGGCAATGGAAAAGAAAATGGAAACTTCTATAATAGGGTTTAGGGTTTTAGGGAACAGGGTTTAGGGTTTAGGGTTTCGGTACAAGGTGTTCTTGTTCCAGGTGCTGAGGGCCGGAAGAAACGGCTCATCTGAAAATTCAATACGGACCTCTGCTCTTTGAAGCCTTCATCCATTTGAGAAAGCCATGGTAATTAGCCAGGGCAATGGTGGAGAAGACCAGTCTCCAGTTTGACCCTAAGGCCCTAAGCTCTGAGCCCTGGAAAAAGCCAGGCCAAACAGACAGGTTAAGGGCTGTTGTGGTGTATGGTGCATAATCCTGGAGCCAGCAGCTTTTGCTATGTCTTGCTAGGGTTCTTCTTTGTGAGCTCTGTTGATGACTGTTGGAAAGTCTGGGCTTGAGATACCAGTGCCAGGAATGGTCATGTCTTCACAGGCTCCATGTCTGTGATGGCCACAGCTGCTTTGCTACGCTGATGAAGCATGATGAGGCCAACCACAGCGGTTCTTAAGAAAGTTCGAACACAATCCTCACAAGGGGCCCTAGAAGCATGTGCATGGTTCACGTCACGAAGAATGCCTCACTGCTACTGAGCTGCGACTGACCATACGTTCAGGATTCTCCACATAGTGACTTCCCGAAACTTTGCAACTGAGTCGAGGGTTGTTCCCTTTGGTTGCTGGGCTGCTGCTCCACAGCCCCCCCCAACCTTTGCTTTCGTCTGGGAGGGGAGGAGGAAACGGACTGCTGAGTCTGAGGCCCACCTGCGTGGACGCATCTACTTCATGCAAGCAATTCTTCTAAAGGACCACAGAACCCCAATCGGCATGCTAACCCTGTGTAATCCCGAAAGTTGTCAGGAGAGCTCTTCGACCGAATCCTTGCAGCAGGCAGGACACCGCAGCACTCCCTCAACTCTGAGGAAACCTACCTGAGAAAATCAATCACCATACATAGGGTTGTATAGGGTTTATATAGGGGCGTATAGGGATCATATATAGCGTACAAGGATGTTACCCTAATCATGGAAAAAGAAATGGAGAACGAAATGGAAGCTGGGGTTGTACAGGGCTTGGAGGTCTAGCTGAGGAATTAGGAATACTTTTATATGTTTGCAGTTGTGGACAACTTGACTGCTTTGCGTCATGACATTGGCTTTCAGAACGGGCTGGTGTGCCATCATCTTCTGACAAATACCCAGGAGGTTGCTGGAACATCTATTCTCCGTTCTGTCCGGATTCAAAAGCCTACATTGATATTCGACTTCCACAACATTTGTCCAAATTAGGATTCCGCGGCACAGCTCCGAAAGACGTGACATCTTGTTTTCTTTTCCGTTCTTGCAAGTCTAAGGCGCACATATACCATACAGCATGGAACTTTTCCAGTATCCGCTTCTTAATTACATTGCCATAAATCCTCAAATCAACCTTTAAGCATGGGCCCAGGAAGAAACCAGCAACCCCAGACCTTGTGTCCTGAGCTTTGAGAGAGGCCACTTCACCGAGCGCGATGCTGCCGAAGCGATATGGCAGATGCTGCTTGCCATCCGAATCCCGGCACAGCTTTCAGTCGTGTGAATGATTTCAGCTGGGCAGGTTTAGCTTTAAAGCTCAGGGCTAGCGGTCAGGAGTTTAGGGTTGCCGCGTTGTAGGTAGTCTGTAGCAAAATAACGGGCGATTTCGGAAGGGGTGTTTGATATTTGAGAAGTGCAGGCCGGAGACCATTTGAGATCACGACTGTACTCAGGGTTCCAGGTTTCAAGAAGAGCTTTGGAAACAGAATGAACGAAACCTCAGGCCATTGACACTGCTACATGTAACATGAAAAAGCAGAACACGCTGATCCAGAAGAGTGGTGTAGTGGCACCAGTGGTATCAGGTAGGACCGTAAGAAGTATCATGGTCAGCGAGGAAAAAGGTAGTCACATGTATACACACTACTTATAACCGCCCCATACAGGGATTATAATGCGCAGAACTTGTAAGAAGAATAGATGTAATGGTCATCGTCAGAACTGCCATGATAGAAGCAAGGCAATACTGGGCAGCTTGTAGTAATAGTTGGTGTGTGAACGACCATGTAGTGAACAGAGTAGGAATGCTTCACTTATCTGGCAATCAGTGCAGTGGTGGTGAGCCCATGTCTCTTCTTGAGAAACTGGAGTGATGAGGGAAAACACATCTTTCGAGGTACGCCTACATGGAAGTGGCTCTTAGTCCCGTAACGTAAAAGCCTTTCTGCAAGACTGAAATCGGGGCCATGAACAGACCCTGCATCCTTATCATCGGTTGACAGCAAGATCTTACTCCTTCCCATCTCCATCCTGCTGACTTTACCAAGTATCTCGCACTTTCGGCCCACGCGCCTAAACTATCAACCCCAAACCATGCTGCGTTCTGTCTTGACTGCATCAGGATACCTCCATGGTCCGGGCCTGATGTGTGGCCATTTTGAGATTGTTGGGGTCCGCACCATGCTTTGCTGGAGAGTTCCGTAGAGCAGCAGGCAACTAATACTTCTGCACTCCAAGAAAGCACAGCACATCTTCAGGTGGCACCCTCCAACAAGCTAGGGGGAGAGGGTTAGATTCAAGAAGCGCTGGTTGTATCGAATCCTACGATTGAGCCATCGCTGCCTGCAAGAAGTCAGGTCTGGGCATTGTGCACAGGGACCTCAAGCTGGAAAACTGGCTGTACGAGAAGAAGGGGGGCGCCCAGCCGACAGTTTTGGGGAGTTGAGGGAGTCATGTAGGTAGGGAGCCTGAATAATTGGAACAGGGTGTTTGGTTCGGTGTTACTTCTGCTACGCAGTTTAGTTTAGATAGGGGAATGATTTTGGGAATCGCTCAGGACTTTGCAGTACCTAAACCCTATGGCCTAAACCCTGAACTCAGCGAGAATGGGCTGCGCGCAGTGAAAGGTTTTCAAGAAGTGGGCCAACTGGCTTTTACCAGCTGAATCCACCCTAAAGTCAAAACCATAGACTTGCAGCCTGGTACTGTACTATTGACTTGCGGACTTTTTCCAAAGTCGCGGAATCCTGCTGCCCATCTACAAGACCTCCAGACCTTGAAGCCAAGATCATTTCACCAACCACATGAGCCCGGGCCAGGCGGTCCTCTAGTCCAGAATCACAAAAAACCCTAGCACGTTGGGGCAATCTGTGGTTCTCTGGTCCCTGCAGCAGGCACACTCCTTGCCGCAAGCCATGTTAATTAGGCATTCAAACCGTAGCACCTGCCGCAAGATACGTCGCCGGAACAATGGTGGCAGTGCGAATACTAAAAATATTACAAGAGCAGTAATTTAACACGAATAGAAGTGAGCATAGCAAGAAGCCGACACCTGAAGCCTGAATATCCGACTCAGAGCACTTTGTGGTAAAGTTTTGGGAGTTACAGTCACGGTCTCGACTAGAGCCAGAAATTTGGCAAGGAAACCCAAGTCCTGAACCCCAACTGTAGAGGGACGGCCTTAAACCTTGAGGGAAGGCCAGTTGTCGGCTGCTCGAAGATACCAATTTGTGCAGACATCTTCTTCAATTTCCTGTACCTTGCGTGAAGTGGACTGTAAACCCCGAGGCCCTACTTGGAGGCCCATGGGACTTAGTAACTACTTATAACTGGGATTATAACCCTACTTGTAATTGGGGTAACCCCTATTTAGGGGGATTATAATTAGGG